GGGAAAATAAGCGTCATGCTCGAAGGAAGATTTATCGGGCCTCTCCTCCGGCGCGCCGGGATATTGTACTTTTCTGAATTTTATTTCGCAGACATGTGTCTCCCGGGCGCCCCTCTACCGCGACCTCGTACTCGCTCTGTTATGATATTTGAAAACTTTTTCTCGCGCAACTATCGTTTGTCAGAACTTTGAGCTACGAGCTGCACTTTCTTCCTGGTGGAAATAAAAATCGGGCCTGCGAGTGCCTCGCCCATTTGTTATTCCTAGGGTAAAATGGTCAATCGGGGCGGGACAAGTTGAAAGGTGCTTTTCTCATTTTTCAGCGGGACCTCCCGACAGCGAACGATAATTAGAAAAATTTCGCTGACCAGAAGAACCTCCCCGTCACCGCACTAATTGTCAGCGCAGGTATATCCCGTCGCAAGCAAACGAGCGGAGCTTTTTTTCCATTTCTGCCATTCGGGTTTTTTTTTTGTTTTTCGTACCTCGACAACGTTCGGCCTGTCAATTATTGATAAAAGAGCGACGCGCACTCGCGAGACAGCCGAAAACGTTACAGTCGGACAGCAGCGGCAGACCATTGCGGAGGATGAATGTGTTGCGGGCCGATGGGGGTGGGGGTGAATGTAAATTATTGCCCCCCCCCCCCGGGGCTTCCGCGATAAATAACTATCAGCGCTCGGGCAGATGTAACCAGACGCGCCTATGTGGAAATTAAAAGAGACAGCTTTTCGGCGTGGGGGGGCCTCGTGATTTTTTTTTTTCGCGGCGGCCCGTCCTTTAGATTTGTTTAGCGCTTTTCCGTGTTTTGTTCGGGTCGCCCTTTTTATCTCTTTCGCGCGATTTATTGGCTCTGCTCGTGATTACACTGGGACGCGCTGTATACTTACAGGTATTTTAAATGCAAGGGAATGGCGGGACAAAAAAAAAAGAGTTGCGCTTTTGGATGCTCGCGTAAGCTCGAGTACGTTGAATTTCTGAATTAATTATATTAAATGTAACTGGTTAAAGTGCTTTCTGCTCCAAGCCTCGTAAACTAACTCTTTTACGGCTAAAGCTCTGGTAATATAATTAAAAAAAAAAAAGAAAAAAAATTATTTAATGAAATTCTAAAAATGTGCGCACCGCCGGGCTACGGACTCAGTTTTTAAATATCAATTTGTAACTTTTGCCGTCGGAAATTGGGACCATTGCCAATTTTTAGCGTAAAAACAAGCGCTCAAAGGCAAACGAATATTCCACATCAAACAGGACTCAACTCCGTACGTGAACTTGTTAACAAATTTTTCGCGAGCTGCGTTTATCGGGAAAAAGAGCATTTGGCATCGAGTGAATTTTCAAATCACCCCGTACATTTGCGGTTTTACGTAAAGTACGCGGGTCAACGCTAACGCGACCTTATTGCTCTTTTAGGCTTGATGAAAAAAATTAAAAAAATAGAAATTCATTTTTGCGAAGCCATTCCTCAAGCGCGTTGCGAGAAATTAAAATTAATTTACGGGACTTGTTAGCGTGCATTACACGAAGCACGTCTGTTTGCTCCGCGGAAACTCGCTACTATTTTTCGGACGCTATACCGCACTGCCGTTAATTCAGGTATTTTCATTTTTTTTTCTGGCCTCATACAAGTTCATCTCCAACATTTTCCCTGTCGAATTTGCTTCTCTTTACGTGTTTGTTCTCTTTACGAGTCAGAGTGCTGGGGACAGAAATTGAAAACGCAGTGGAATGCTTTTTTCGCCAGCCAAGGCAACGAAGGGGGCTTCCAGCCTTAGTGAATATAAATACGGAAAAAATACGGGGAAGCGAGCAAGAATAAAAGCTACGCTGGAAGAAGAGGAGAGCACGAGCACGTAAAAATTCGTTACACGCGTAAATTTCAATACAGCGCACGAGGGGCCACATGTTTACGCGTAGGAGGTATTATTATTATTATTTTTTTTTAATATTCGCAAAGGGGTCAGAAAAAAAAATCATCAGTCACGTTAACCCGTATGAGAGAGGGTTGAAGAGTGATGTTATCTATAAGGGTTTTTTTACCCTTTTTGCAGAAACAGAATCGGACGGTGCGCTAAAACAGGGGGCGAACATCGTGACACGTGGTTCACGATTGTCCGGACGAAAACTAAGTCACGTGAGCTTAAGCTAAACGTCACTCCGGAGTCCGACAACTTACTGATAATTTTACCCGTATGCTCCTTCTACTTGCGATCTTGCGAAAACATCCCAGCTATCCTTGATCAGTGGCAAAGTTAAAAGGTACATTTGGAAAATGCAAATAAGGGGGGTGTTTAAACGAGGATCGGCTCGTCTCTTATGATTATTTTTCCATTGCAGTGTCGTCGGTGTGCTCTCGGTCAGCACCTATATACCACCAGACGACGGAATTTGGGATTGGCTTGCAAGCGAATTATTGAGCAACTCTGGCGTTAAATGACTAAACCATTTCTGCTCTGTCGACTCACAATTAAATCTCCATTCGCCCGCAAACTGCCTCGCTGTCTCGGCATACTTACATTTCTATACTTATCCTTACAATTTGTACATATTTCCAATTATAATCATCATCATTGTAAATATATCATTTTTGTCACATTAATAACCATTTTATCATCCTGGATTTGCCTGGAAGCCTGAAAATAAAATAACAAGGGAGGCGATTGTAAAGAAAAAAAGAATACATTGTTGTAAGAGAAAAATCATAAAAACAAAAATTGAGCGTGTAAGCGTTATTTGTTAACAATTGCAAAAAAATCCGCATTGTATTCACAGTAGAGGTAAACAAAGCCAGATACCTCCTAATCCGGGGCTCACCGCATCTGTGAAAAGAAAGATCTCGGGGTAGGGGGACAAGGGTGTCATATTATATTACCCTCACAGCTTACGTGGTAAAACGTATGGGAAATAGCGTCGGGGGGGGGGGCTGTAGCTATAAGGACAACGTGAAACGCGTGAAATACCGGGACGCGTATTTACCTACGTAATCCGGGCGCTTACATGATAAACGCCGAGAAAATTTACATCGGCACGGAAAAGCACGGCGTGACGCGCGTTATGTATGCCACGCAGCGTCCCGGGGAGGAGAAGACGAGCCCAATTATATTATATTATACATATCATGTGACCTCGTCTCCTTTGTCCCCCTTGGTTGTGCGTTGTGTGCTCTTGGACTCTCATGGTGCACACGACGGGCATCATCCTTAGTGTCCACTATCGAGTGCACACGTCCACACAACACTCGTGCTACTCGGTATCGATGATTTGTAACCACCACAGTCTTGGCCATTTTTTTTTTCTTTTGCACACATTTACCGTGGCGCTCGTGCAAGTAGTAGCGGCGGAATATAGCATTGGCTCGTTATCACGCGTTGGTTTACGATAATCACGACACACGAGGGAACGGCATCGCGAAAAAAAAAAAACATAATAATAATAAGCTCAAACACACGAGTACGGATTTTACGAGGGAATATTCGCGGCGTGTCGATGCCGTGCACACAGGCATAAAGATTTGTCGTGGAGCATCGAACTTTAACGACCCGGTGCTTAACGGAGCCACCGCTGGCGCGTTGATCGCGTCGATAAAATTAAATATGCTGCCTCATCTCTGCAACCCGCGTGAATGTATATTATACTGCGTACGCGTATAAAGCGAGCGAGAAAACGTGTTTCATATCTTGAGACGTTGCAGCTGAGCTAGCCTGTATACGTGATCGAACTACATGCGGGGGTAGGGAGACCCGGTTGATGGGGAGGGTTTTATTGCTCGTATCGCTGCGACGGAAAAGGGAGTTTTTTCCCTTCCCCCTTGTAATATGCAAACGTTAAAAAGTTGTCTTTTTTTTTTTTTTTTTTTTTCATACGCGACAAATCTGAAAAAACAAAGAGAAAAAAGACTAGTGTCATACAGGTAGCTTTCACGCACGCAACGTCGCGACCATTTAGTCATCATCGGTCGTGCTTCATTTAAGAGTTTACCTCCGTAAAAATGCGGGGAAAAGGAAAAAAAGATCTCTTCCCGATCGCGCCTGTTTTTAACACCTGCGCCGTTGTTGTACGACCACACCGCCCTATTTATACTCAACCCCCCGATCTTGAGCCAGCCGATCGGCTCGTACCTCCCTCGCGCGCATAAAGAGCCGTAACGCGTGCTCCTCTTGGATGACTTTTTTTTAACCCACGCGTCCTTCGTTCGTTTGCACCGGGAAAACGCTTTTTATACATCCACGGAGAGAAAAGACCACGAGTGAAAATCGATGCACTTTTTTTTTTTTTACCAAAGTGCACTCGAAAGCCGATACGCACTCAAAGTCTGCGTGATATTTCCCGTGATTTTCTTCGATCGCCGTCACTCCTTGGTGTTGCTGCGGTTAACGCTCGATGGAGAGGCTCCGAGTGGGATTTACGATTTCGAGGGGTGCGGAGGGAAAATTAAAATTTATCTCCAACAATAATCGTTAGCGCGAAATCGCGTTCGATTGCGCGTGCAATTAATTCGACTTATTACAATTAAAAGCCGGGGGCAGTGTGTTTGTCGTTTTGTTTTATTTATAACGCCAAAGTGTTGTTGGCTAAATTAAAATCGGTTTTTTTTTTTCATTCAACATTTCGTTCGTCCGAGCGTTCACTCATCGAAAAATCACTGGAATTCCCGACACGTCGCAAATTTTTCCCGAAAAAATTCTGGACCGTCCGTCCCGTCATCCGTCGTGATTATCGTCGGCCAACGCACTTTTTCACACGCGCTGCTCTGCACGAGCTACACTTAATTTTTTTTTTTTCAACGGTGTCCACAAAAACAAAAAACATTTTTTCCTTTTTCCAACGAGCTCTCGTATCATCACAGCGTCCATTTACACGAGCCGTTGACGTTTCATCACCATATCATATTTGTGCACAAACTCGCGTGAATGCCAGTGTGTCCACGAAATAATGTTTCTATTTTTTTTTTTTTCATTTCTCCTTCGCATTTCACGTTTGCTTTGTTTTGATTTACTCACCATTTTCCTGAGCAATTAACGGGTCGATCACCACCAACAGAATGAGAAAGATGGGAGTCATATTGACAGCCCAATCCTCCCCCTGTCCTTATCCACCCCCTTCTCACAGCACTGCTCTTATCACCACCGCCGTCGTTGTTGTTCTCGTCGACGTTGTCTCGTACTATTGCTCGCCACCTATGAACAACAAGAACAAATTCCACCCCTGTCAGTGAATAACCACGCGATCCGCAGAATTTATCCAGATTTTCTTTGCTTTCTCATATCTCGAAGGGCGGAGTGGGCTTTTTCTTCATCCCAAAAAACAAAACACTCATTTACAGGCTAGTTACGCCACTTTGATGTGGCAGGGGGTGAGATGGGCAGGGTGTGGTGAATACACAGGCGTATATATACGCTAATCACACGCGCAAAATGACGAAACACATAGGGCTCGGGTTTCGACGCCGAACGCAATAACGCACGGAATTTTCCAATTACTATCGACACTTTGAAAACTTTGAGCTTCGGGTTACGGTGCTGCGTACACGCGTTGGCAATACTATATCTACTATATCTACGAAGACCAGCAGAGTTTTTTTCCCCTGGTGCGACGACGGTAGAAAAAATAGTGGCTCTTCTTTCTTCCTTGTCTAAACTACGCGAGTTGCATGCGTTGCCGTTGTTACAGGCTACGGTGTCTAATATATGTATGTACAAGTGTAATCAACTCGGCTTCTTCTCTTTTTCCGTCTCCTCTTCCTCGAGCGTCCCTTTGCGCGAGTATCCCCGTGGGGTGTACTACCTGAGCGAGCGACCGCGAGCCAACAGCGTAAAACTCTCGCACGTATCACGTCCCTTTCTTCCTGTGGTTCCACGACCATTCCATACTATCGGTCGCGCGGCTCGGCTGACGTGCTGCATGCGGAACAAGAGGAAACAGACCAAGAAGGGAGCGCCAAAAGAAGAAGAAAAAAAAAAAAACAGGTTCAGCCGGCCGCCTGGCGTTCTCTGCAGTCCTCCTCTGTCCTGCGCGGCTTTCCCATAGCTTCTCGGAGCAACGACGCGACTATACTCTTTCGACTCGCGGAGCTCAACGGGGCGGGTAACGGCCCTAAGCTCGGGCACGAGGCTGCTCGGGGCTGACTTTTTCGGGCACGCGGGCGGATGATTCAAATGGACACACACGGTCGCGCATATCGGCAATTGATGGCACGGGTAGTTGCAAAAGGCACGCGTGCACGTAGTTGTCGAAGAGCGCGCTACGGCCTGACTGACTTGCTCTCTCTCCCGGCGCTCGGCCTCGCTCCCCCCCCCCCGCCCTTCCCACAGCGCTTATGCCTCTTCTGCACCCCTTTTTCACCCTCGCGCACTACCGCGGCGCATGCGCCGACGTGGTAGGACACCGGGCGGCTTTTACATGTATACGTATATGTATACACTCCAGCCACAGCTTTCTCTGTCCCTCAATTTCTCGATAGCGCGAATTGCAAGCGCGATACTTTTTTTTTTTTTTTTTTTTTATCATCTAGCTTTGCAAAAGCTTTATAGGGTTTTTTTTTCTTTGTTTAACGACCCGGGGCACGAGTGAGTTGGCGTTGAAAGGGAGATCCGATAGAATATGGATTTGCAATTTATAAAACGATGCCCAGAAGGGTTCTTTTTCTTTCTTCTATCGAAAAGGGGTTATTTTTCGTTGGGTGTAAACAAATTTAATCAAAAAGCTCCGTTTTATCAGCACCGAGGATTAACGGGAGAAACGAGTTAAACATCATACCCGACATTGCCCCACGTTAGACATTAAATGAGCCTTGCTCTCTGGATAGAAAAAAAAAACAGGGTGGGGGGGGGGGGGGTTGAAAAAAGTAAAAAAGCGCGAGAATTCGAGCATCATGAAAAATTCGCGCGGGTTCGCACTCGGAGCACCTGCGCCGGCTCCTACCACGACAGGAAGGTGGTGGTAGTAGACAGCAGTGACTGCGGCGTACGAAAGCCACGCATGCGTTAGTAGCGAGAAGGAGGCGCTTCTACTCTACTCCGGGGGTGGCTGCTGTGTTACGGAGGCAGGGGGGGGGAAGAGACCAAGGGATAAGCGCGCCGGCCAACAGCTATCGCAGTTTCTGACTCGATGTTTGTCTGTCTGGTGGTGGGCACCTTCCAGAGCCGTGAGCCAAACAGCTGCTCAACTTCCACTTTGACGAGGTACGCGCTTTTGCTCAAATTTTTTTTTCACCAACTACACTCGTACTACCATTCCATCGACTTTACGAAACGCAATCTTTATCATTACCACGACCACCCATCTCTATATTAAAAAATGAAAAACGAAGCACGTTGCAAAAAATTGTTTACTTTTAACGTGTAGAAAACTGCATTGGACAAAAGTGAAAGACAGCGTGAAGTAATGAAACTGAAGCAAACGTTACCAATGCCTGGCAAAAATGCGTGGATCGGCGACCCTTACCACCTTTCGCACACGCAGCATCGGGACAGATTTGGTGCAAGGAGGTTTCGTGAATCGTCGGTCAAGAGACGAGGAGAGGAAGGAGAGCACGAACATCTGCTGATCCACGTGTCAGGTGAGTATCTGTGTGCGACTCTGTCTCCGTGTCTGTTGGTTTTTTTCAACATATGATTCCCAGTGTACGAAAAATTATACCTCACGATTATAATGTGTCAATACACCTTACAAATATCATAAATGTTGTGTGTACTTTATTCATCGTTGCTCAAACTATTACGTGGACAAAAAGAAGGAAGGAGCCACGCGAGTTAAAAAAAGCAAAGTGATCAAGTTTTTGCATTTGTGTGCGCTCGTCGAGAGAAAAAAAAAGTTGATTCCGATACTACGATCGAAAATACAACAAAAGCGTGCACGAGGATTAATTTATCATTACCACTACAGTATGCGTATAGAAATAATAATAATAATAATGATGAATCCCTCTAGTGTCTCTCCTTGCGTCTTTCTCTGACTTCGTTTCGCTATCGCGTATATGTCTCCATTCGTCTATATACATAGATTTATCTTTTCCTTTTTTTTCGTCCCGGTACTTCTTGACGTTTCCCGTCGTGCGAACAAAAGATAACAATCGGAATAAGAATAACTGGGCTGCGCTCGCGCACCGTCAGGAATCCCCTTGAACCGTGATGTGCTAAGTTGGATTTTTTTTTTTTTTTTTTTTTTTTTTTTCAAGAGGAGAGCACACGAAGTTTTTCCACGAATATCCTCGAGGGATGAATATTTTCTTTTTCCATGCGTCTGGGCTAACTTGTCGCGGAGGAGATGAATTAAAAGTCAAATTTTTTAAATTGCTCTTTCCCGTATGGCTACGCATTGTTCATTGCACAAATTCACATGAGAATAAAAAATACAAGATAGCACAATTGAGCAGGAAAGAGGCCCATGTCGGCAAACGGCAAGTACACGCGGTTGAAAGAGCGAACAATCGGTGCCGCGCTCTATGAATAAACATTCAAACGGGGGGGATTGGAGAAAATTCGGCGCAGCCTCGGCGCGCTTCTCTGTGTCTCGCTCGAGAGTTTCTTGCCTTTTATATGCACGCGCATGCGGTGGTGGCGGAACGACGAGCGCTCCCTTTGCGATTTATACGTGTATATATACCCTTTCGCTCCTTGCGAATAATGGAGGAGGAAGTGGTGCCGGCGGTCGGGACTACTGCCGCGGATGCAGCCGAGCTTCGGCAATTTTCCGCCCCCTCCCACCCGCTTTCCTTGCTGCGGCTTTTTTCCGGTTTTTGCTCGTTTTGCCCTCCCTTTCCCTCCAAGATTTTCTTTCTCGTTGTCGTCGTCGGTTTTCGGATTGCATTGCGTTCGAGGGAAAATTTTCCGGGAAATTACAAACGATAGCTGAGGCTTGGTATCATTTCCGACGCGGATGATCGTTGCTCTTTGACAGTATTCATCCAGTTTATATTTTTTGTTTGTTTTATTTTTACAACTTTTGCTTTTATTTTGAAATGTGCCGTGAATTTTAAATTTCACGCTGATACCGAGTGCACCTTTTGAATTCCGAGCTCCAGCGGTATTTTTACCGCGGCTCTGTAAATGAAATTGCATTTGCAAACGGCAAATGGGAAAAACAATTTTTCCATTAAAATGTCAAGTTACGCGGTAAAAAAATAAATACTTTCAACTATTGAAAATGTACGCGTTTTGCTCGAATAACGGACTTTTTTGGGTGCATTGTGTTTGGTAAATGTTTCAAAAGTTCCGTGCCTGCATGTATATCCACGTTTTCGGTATGACCCATTCAATGGCACGTAAAAGAATACAGGTTTATCGAATTTCCCCCTGTGAAACGAATTGAAAACATTTAGATGGAAGCCAAAAAGCTTTTTTTTTTGTTCCGAATGTCCAATTTTTGCGTTTTAACGATTACCTACCACATTTTTTATCTGTATTTCAATAGCTACATTCTGTACGTCAACTTTAAATTGGCAGACGAAACAAGTTTTTCTCAACAAGCCCAACCGAGGGGCGCACGATAGCCCTCGCTCCTCAAATAAACAACCCTCCCCCCACCCCCTCAAAAGTTATCCAAAGCCATACCAGAAATTAATCTCTTGGTTTTCTCGGACAAAAGTTTTTTTCACTCTGCAGAGAAGGAGCGAAGGAGGGTATGAAATTAAGCTCGTTAGAGCTCTCTTTTCACTTCAATTATACACTTTTCTCTGCCGGCCGAGCTTTTTTGAATTCATCCGGGGCCACGGGCTACTAGTCATTCGCCCAGCCAAGGGAGAGAGGAGGGGTACGGGAACTTGGGGAAAATGGATATAACGACGAGACGGCGGCGGTGGCGGACGAAGTCGTGCCGATCGTGAAACACGCCCCTGCGGCTTAACGAATGCCTTTAATCTCCTTCAAAGTGACCGCGCCGTTAGTTCGCGAGACCCTCCCCCACCGCCCTCTTTCCCCATTACACTCTTTGAACTACTCATTTTTCCCGCTACGAATACGCCTTTTCAAACTTCACCCCACGATCCTTGGCTCGGTTTTTTTTTTTTTTTGTAATCTCCGACTTGTAATTCTTTTCCAACCGGTAGTGAAGCAAACGGCATCCGAGGGATTTTTTTATTATTATTTTTTTTTATCCGAAACAACGATTCGTGCGCAACGATAACCCATCGTCACAATAGATGATTCAAGTTATTTCTCGAGCCACCTCAAACACCAAC